TTATGCAATATCAAGTGTGAAAATACAGAAAATTTGGCCTGCATATTACCCAAAATTATTCAATAAAACTCATAAAAATATTTATTCTGACAGTTGTTGCTTGCATAATTTAATAGAACATGCTATTTTCTTTCACCTTGGACAGAAAAAATATATATACTTCATATTTATTTTGAATTATTTGTAATTTTTCAGTGTGATTTTGAAATTCATCCTGCTGCTGTTCATCACAAAAGTTCCTTTTATTGAATAAATGATTTGAAGGATTAAAAAATGTAAAGTTTAATTCCATTTTCAAGCATGAACCTTTTAAAAAATTATTTGATTTTTTTCGCAGGTGTTGCTCCAAGACCTATCAAGACATAGAAAAGGATGTCCCCATTGGGACACATTTGTTCCCCTTGGTTAACTGATGACTAAACTCTTTCCCTCTTTCCAATGTATAACATTTGCATGCATTTTTCAAAACCTGATCTGAAGTCAGAAGGTTCATGTTCAAATCATGTTGAGGTCACCAATTATAAAATTTAAAGGTTGCATGTTTGTATACATTGTAGGTGTGTGCCCAATGGATAGGAAATGTAGTGGGAGGGGGAATAGAAGATTTTGAGATGAGATAAGCTGCATTCACCTTGGAAGAATTTTGGAAAGCTCTTTATTCAGCACTGAATTCAAAAAAACTTTTAATGAATAGGAAGTAGCTTCAAATAATCCTCTAGGTCTTAAAGATGGAACTCCATCAGATCCTCTAAAATGGCATGACAGAATCACAAAGAACTTTACCAAATAACAAAAACCACATCACATGAAGAGTGCCAGTGGCAGCAGCAACTAAAATGGATATCACATGCAACTAGAAGGGAAAATAAGAATATAATGTAGATGTTGACATTTCAAACAACCTTAAGCAAAAGGTTTGGAAGGAAATTCCTATAAATACTTGAAAGAGTTATAATAGTGGACTGAGAAGCCTATTTTCCTAAAAAATACTTAAAAAGATTTTATAAATTTCATGTCAGCAGTAAAGTTAACTAATCAGTCTGTGAATGCTGAATATTTCCTGCATGGGAACAACTAATCTCACAATTAGTCACTATATATAAGTAATTATTTTTGGGGATTTAGGCTTATAGCAATGAGTCTAGAAGAATCCTCAACAGAATGCAAAACGCACTGGACAGCCGTTTCATCCTATCTGGGACTCATCAGCAGTGCGCATCCACTACCAAGAATCAAAACTGGACCGTTTCGATACAACACAAATGTCATACCAACTGTACCATGGGACTCGGTGATGAAGAAGACAAACTAGACAATATAACATGCTACTTACTCAGTTCCACAGCTTTTTTCTCGATTCTCGTATTGGATCGCACTGCTGATGAGTCCTAGATAGCATGAAATGGACGTCCAATGCTTTTCTGTATTTTGTTGAGGATTCTTCTAGACTCATTGCTATAAGCCTAAATCAAAATTAATTACTTCTATACCTTGCTAGACCCAGCTAATGCTCTCTGCGTATATCAAAAAAGCAGTCGTGGCTTATAAGGGGCACTGTTCCAAGGTTATCTGAATACTTGGATGAGTATCACCACGGAACTGAGTGAGTAAGCGGCTTATATCAGTCTAGTTTGTTTCTTCATTATTTATATATATATATATATATATATATATATATATATATATATATATTAAGAAATGGACAAATCCGAAATTTATTTATTAAACATTTTTTTATGTTTAACGTTGTTATTTATAGATACAAGTATTTAAGCAAATGCTCTGTTTATGATAAACAGTATTAAATAACGTTATACCTGAATGTCGAAAAATTTTTGGCCCAGAAAAGGCATTCATTCTTTATAGACAGGTTCGAATTTGGTCAAAGAACGAACATTTTCTATGAAAAATTTCCGGACATTCAGGTTATTTAATACTGTTTTCTCATAAACAGAGCATTTGCTTAAATTCTTGTATCTATAAACAACGTAAACATAAAAAATGTCATTAATAAATATATATATATATATATATATATATATATATATATATTAGTGCCTGTGTGTGTCAGTTATGCCAGGTAACTGAGACTATATAATTATAAGAAAAAAGATATTCAAAAATCAGTATCTTTTGAAAATTGTTTACATATATGCACAATTTAGAAAAAGCTTATTTGATAAAACTGCAATATAGAATTCTAGGACATTTAAATGAGGTGGTCTAGAAAAATCTCTGTGTATCACTGTTATCTGTATCAATATATATATATATATATATATATATATATATATATATATATATATATATATTTTTTTAAGCATTTCCAGCAAGGCCTTGGGAAGCCACTAGCACAAAGGGGTTACAGGGATTTGGGCAAGAGCAGATAGGAATGATAGGAGAGGATGAGGAGAAGGATAGTGGATAGATCAAGGCAACTGGAGATGTCGATTGACATTACATTTGAATAGTTGGAGATTATAGCTCTCAGGGAAACAGGAATAGGGAAGGACTTCCACAGGCGATAGGTGCAAGACATGAAGCTATTGGAGTAGAAGAGGCAGCTATATTTAACAGTTTCAACAGTGAAAGGGTGAGAGCAGGATGCTAGCCTCGTAGGGCGCTTGAATTCGCAAAGTCTTGGAACCAATGAAAGCAGCTCATTGGAGCAATTACCACGAAAGTATTTGTGAGACAGACAGAGAGAGGTGACAACATCTGTGAGAGAGCGACTGCAGAAGAGATGCCAGATCAGGGCCAATTATATTGCATATCCATCTCTGGATCTTATCAAGAACCTTGAGGTAAACAGAAGGGGATCCAAACCATATATGGCAGCAATACTCCATACAAGGGTAGACAACATTTTATATTTGGTTCTAACTATACAAGGATTATTTGTGAGTTAGCAACACATCATTTGAGAAACTAATTTTTTCTGAAGTGTCCAACAACCATGGTCTTGTGCCAAACTAACCTAATCATTATATATATGTAAAAATCTGTGGGTAAATAATCCAAGTGAATCCTAATAAAAATATTAAAACTGATCCACAAAGATAGCTCAATATATTTATTATAGAGCATATATTGATAATTTACATTTAATGAAACTCATATCTCATTTGAATAGCCATTTCCCTAAATGTAAATTTTATATATATATATATATATATATATATATATATATATTTCTCTGTATATATTTTATTTATATATTATATATGCATGGTACTTATTGGAAAGTGTTCAATATCAGTGATAGAGCTAACATACTGTATTGAGGTGAGTTTGTGACCCTGGGTTTAACACCCTTGCAAGTGTGTTTAGGCAGCAATCCTTCATTTATGCTTGTTTCATTAAAAATAACAGATAAGGTACTATGATTAAGCTTTTTATTTAATTTTTGTGGTGTTTGAACAAGGGTTTTCTTTTTTGGACACGGTATGTAGAAACTGTCCAAATGTTCTATAATTCCGAGCACTTTTGGCTATACTTGTAGTCATTATCAGGGATGATTTTATTTTTTCAATTGGGTGTGTTCATTGTGTGTATGTTTTTAGTGTTGTAGAGATGTTATATTTTCCAAAAACCTGCACATAGTGGCCATGTTTGTAGTTAATAATATTAACTGTTGGCTTTTTTTATATATATATATATATATATATATATATATATATATATAGCTAGCTACTCATTTTCCAAGCAGGCCCATCTGTTAGGGCAATCAGTATCAAGGACATGTGAATTCAATGTCAGAAGTGATTATCTCTCCAGATCAAGTGGTTCTCATTTATACTGGCTATCATATCTACAATGACTGCCTTTAAAAAGTCCTTCCTCTCTGGGGTCACTGATTGATCTCTTTCAATATCGTAGTCCAAGGGTTTCAAATAAGAGACCACACTATGAAAATTCCTGGCAAACCACTTCCCAGCCAGATGGATCATTCCTTTCATCAAGGACTTCACCACTGCATCCAGCACTTCAATAGACATGATGGCATTGAGCATAGTATTTTACTATAGTTGGTAGCTAGTGTCACAAGTACACCACCCCTTTCTATTTCTTGTGTTAGATTGATTAACTGATTTCTTTCGAGTCTGTCTATATAGCACTGGTAAAAATGGTTGCTGAAGATATTAGGTTTATAATACCCAGAAATTCATACTCAGATGTCCTCAAGGACACATGGCACAGTGGATAAAGGCGTTGGTTAGATCCAGTGACAGGATCCAAAGAGTGTGAGTTCAATACCCGGTTAAGGCAGTGGAGAACTTTCAGAGGGAAATTAACAGGAGATAACTGATAATTGACATCCATCAAACATGGCACGTGGAACTAGAACAGTCTACCCCAGTGAGCAAAATAAAGGGTTCAGTTTGAAATTCAAGGGCCAAAATGTTGTGATAAATATGAGGACAATAGTCCGAATAATGTACTGATTTCTTTATTTTTGTTTTCTTACAGTTTATCAACCCTATGCAGGTTATTTAAATCTAGAAAATATTTTAAGATTGTAAATAATTTTTTTTAAGAGAAGCATATTCATACTTTTCCCAAAGGTATTTAATTTAAGCTTAAGTGAATATAACAAACCCAGTTGAAATTTGAACTTGACTCTTTGATTCACAATTTCAACTACGAGGCTGGCATCCCGCACTCACCCTTTCACTGTTGAAACTATTAAATGTAGCCACCTCTTCTACTCCAATAGCTTCATATCTCACACCTCTTGCTTGTGGAACTCCCTTCCCTATTCCTGTTTCCCTGAGAGCTATAATCTCAACTATTCAAATGTAATGTCAATCGACATCTCCAGTTGCCTTGATCTATCCACTATCCTTCTCCTCATCCGTTCCTCTATCACTCCAATCTGATCTTGCTCCAAATCTTCTGTAACCCCTTGCATCCTAGTGGCTTCCCACCTTGCTTGGGGTGAAATGCTTAAAAAAAAAAAAAAAAAAAATTATCCATTACACCACTCACACATCCACTCTTACAGCACCTTGTATTCTCAAGTGGTCACCCATCTAGGTACTGACCAGGCTTGATGTTTCTTAACTTTAGTGATCATACAGGAACAAGTGTTTCAATGTTGCAAGCCCCTGTATCAGATTGGAAGCTGTCAATGCATTTAAACATTAATATTTAGTACATACTATGTAATATGTTAGGCCATATTTCATTTATACTCCCATAAAAATGTCTATTTAAATACCTGGTTTGGTTTGTTTTACAGTATATCGACCTCAATGGGTTATTTAATGCCAATAAGATTTTTATTGCTGGTGATATTTTTCCCAAAAGTATTGCTGGTAACATTTTTTTCTCCAAAAATGTATTGCTGGTAATGTTTTTTTTACAAAAATGTATTGCATGTATTAAAGCCTATTTTTACACTTTCATAGCACTTTGCAAATTGCTGGGACTAACAGGTGCTACCACATCGGGTCAGGGTGGACCTGAGAAAATCAGCAATTAAGAGGTGGTTCCATGCTCCTCAAAACCACCTGAACAGAGGCCTTGCTGTAGGATGTAGTGTATTGTCTTACCCCGGATGCGGATGTAATTTATTGTCATATCCAGGATGTGGATATAATTTATCGTCATACACAGAATGCTTAAATAACTGGTGCACTTTTTGTGTGTGTGTGTGTGTGTGTGTGTGTGTGTGTGTGTGTGTGTGTGTGTGTGTGTATACATATTGTAATTATTATACTATTTACATTGTTTGGACTGTTGTCCTCATCCTTATTGCCATATTCATGACACTTCGGCCGTTGTATGCTCTGGCCTTCTTCAGGTGTTTGGAATTTCAAACTATATTTTGTCCACTGGATTCAATTATTTAGTGATACAAGTCTTACTAATAACACATAGCTGGTGGGAGAAGAGGCGAATTCCAATTTTTCCACAATACCCACAGAGTCATTTCACCAATGCTGGTAGCTAATTTGGTTTGGTTTCTTTTACGGCATATCAACCTCACTGGGTTATGCCGACAAGATTTTTTATTGCTGGTAATATTTTTTTTTCTTCAAAAACATTACTGATATTAGGACCTATTTTTACACTTTCATAGTGTTTTGATCCCAGTTTGGGCGTTAACTATTTACCCCATAGCTGGGACCCTAACAGGTGCTACCATCTCAGGTCAGGGTGGAACACCAGCAATTAAGAGGTGGTTCCACACTCCTCAAAACCTCCTGATCAGAGGCCTAGCTGTTGGATGTAACTTATCTTACTCAGGACGCTAGTGGCTAGTGTTACAAGCACATCATCCCTTTCTATTTCCTGTATCAGATTGATTTGTTGTTTTTTTTTGTTTTTTTTACAGTTTATCAACCCTATGCAGGTTATTTAAATCCAGGAAATATTTTCAGATTGTAAGAAATTTTTATGAGATAATAACTTAGTGATACAAGTCTTACTAATTAATACATAGCTATGGTCCAGTAGATAAAAGTGTTGGTTGAATCCAGTGACTTGGCCCAAAGAGTTGAGTTCAATATCTGGCTACAAAAACTTGGAGAGTTTAGTTAAATTGGAGATAACTGATACTGAGACATCTGGAAGAGGCATGGCATGTGGAACTAGAACAATCTACTCCAGTGGATGAAATAAAGGGTTCTGTTTGAAATTCCAATCACTTGAAAGCCAAAGTGTATAATGGCCAAAATGTTGTGAGCACGGTAACGAAGATGGGGACAACAGTCTGAACAGTGGAAGTAGTATAAATGATGTATGCATGTTGATATGACTGCACATCTGCAGACCTGTACATGTATGAGGGTATGAGACAACATTTTCCATATTATACTGTACAAGAAGAAAAATAACTTTTCCTAAACTGTTCACAAATCTCTGTATTGAATCAATTTGAACAATTTCTATAGACAATGTGTCACTTTGTCTGACATGTCTACAGCTTTCAGCTCTACCTGAATTAGGCTTATACCCACATGTTGAAACATCAGTTCCCATATGATCACTAAAGTCATATCAGTGATCCCCATCATATAGATAATTTGCATATACACAAAGGGTGCAACAGGTATTTAAATAGATTGGTTGATTTTGTTTAGCAGCATATCGACCTCTATAGGCTATTTAATGCTGAAATTGAAATATTTTGTACGAAATTTTATGGTTTCAACTAAATATATTAAGAATGCTTTCATGCTTTCAATTACATATTTGTATATAATCTTATTCTTTCAGTACATTGATGTCTCAATTCCAGAACAATTTTCTCATTAATAAAAGTAATTACTTCTACATCATTTTTTATACTATATTGCTTTTGTTTGGAAAATATTTTACAATATTTATAAAGAATAAAAAAGGCAGAATCATTCTGTATTGCTAAACATTCTTTAAAAAAAAACTCGTAGAAGCTGTTGATGAAAGTTGGGAGAATCTTGTGCAACTGTTACATTTTAGAAAAAAAAAAAAAGCCTGTTTCTACAGAAAACATATTGGCATGATTGCTTTTCATTGCACAGTCGGTGGATTTGATTTGATTAAGAGTATATCAATTCCTTAGCCGTCAATGGAAAATGCTTAAATAGATTCTGAGCATTATAAATCCTCTCCAGAGTTTCAAAAGATGAAATAGTGTGTGCAAGGTTTACTTAGTTGATTGATTTTGTTTAGTGGCATATCAACACCACTATGGGTTATTTAATGCTGAAGTCTAAATATTTTGGACAATTTTATGATTTCAACTATGCAACATTGTTAATTCTTGATACATTTTAATGAGAGTCCATTCTGAGTAAATAACTGAATGTTAAGAAAATCATCAAGCCAAATTTCTGCAAAATGGATACTTGAACTTGGTATAAGTTAAAAATTATAAATGAAAAAACTCAAACTTACACTTTAATTCATTTCATTCAATTGTGTCTCCATGTGTGTGTGTGTATATATATATATATATATATATCTATATCTCAGATCAAGTGCCACTCATTTGTGATTGTCTGGTTGGTTTGTGTATACGAGTAAAACTTTAATTCCTTTGATAGAAGCCAAAAGAAAAGTAGGTTGATTAAGTAAAGCAGTTCTTCACTGTCCCCAGACCATCACCTCCCATCCGAAGGGAAAGATAGTAGTATGCTTTCGGCCATGGAAATGAGAAAAATTCAATTCAAAGTCTCCATAATTGTATATCAAAAGCACCATTGAAATGATGTCAGTCTACTCTGTCCATATAGGGCCAGTCTCACTGCAACACTACCACACTGACCAGCTACCTTACAAGGAACATTGTTTGGTTTACCAATTTTGTTACCCCATTCCTATTACCTCCTCTTCCTCATATACTAGAAGTACAGTTAAACATTATATGGTAAAAAGTTCTATGGCCGCTGATTGATTCTCCAAATTAGTTATCTGAATGTTCATTCCTCAAAATAACTGGAAATATGAATCGGAACAGTTTGTTTTTTTTTTTGTTTTTTTTAATAGGAGTAGATAGGCTTTCCTTTCACCCAGACAATACTCCTACCCCTTCTCTTGAACAGAAGTAGGGTCTCATACCTTGTTTCCTGTTCAGGAAGAGGTTCCTAGTTCCTTTCCTTAGGCTTTAATAGTGGTGCTGTCATTAGTTTTTTGTGATATGTGTGGATGGTGGCAACATCTCTTTATACTTAGGGTATCAGGTTGGCAGTTTTCTGGTTGCTGTTCCTGACTGGTAGTTAGGAGCCCAAACTCTTGTGTAGCATCTTGAAGTTGCTCTCATCAACAGTTGCATAATATTGAGGTTTTTGCATAGAGATGTCATGCATGGAAGGGTGTCCCTGCAAGCACTATCAGTGGACAATCCCAAGGCCACACTATTTTGCAGTCTGTGCCCGTTCCCTTCCTGGTATGCTACATTAGATGAGCAACTGCTACTACTACCCTAGACTTTCTTTACAAAACCAATGCACCATGACAGTAAGATACTAAAGATATAAATCTAAACCAGCTCAACAAAAATCATCTAAACCCCTCAAACTTGTTCACCAACATTCTTTGGTATTTGTACCAACTTCTGCAGTGTGGAATCATTCCTCTTCAAAAAAGCCTCTGGAAATATTAACTCTGTGAAACTATTCTTAACTCTTCAACCACCTCATCTGATTTATTGATTCCTGGCTATCTTCCTCTCCTTGGAAGGACTCTAATGTCAACATGCATGGGCTGGGAGTTTATGTCTGTGAACATCTCCCGTTGGCTAGGGAACTCCTTTGAATCTCCAGACAATTCTTACATTTGTCTCTGTCTCTCTACTTAACTCAGTCACCTATCTCTTCTTTCTTTGCTATCCCTCTTTCTCTCATGACTGTTGCATGCTAGAAAGTATTTCTGATAATATATACAAGGCCATTCCACCTCTTCTCCCCCAGCTATGGGTTAATTAAGATTTGTATCCCTAAGCCATCACTATCTAAAAAAATGTTTACAATATAAAAATATTTTTTGGCTTTAAATAACCTGCAAATGGCTGGTAAGCTATAGAAAATGAATCACTCAATACCTTTGCACTAGGAATGTTAGATGGCAATGACTTTTTGACTGTGGTAGAGTGTTTAAAAATGTTTACAAAGAGTTGAAAAGGTCAAATCCATGACAGAGCAAATACAACAACAATAGCTGGAAAAATATATACATAGACTTGACAAAATATGAATTTATAAATGATTTACTTTATCTATATTTCTAAGATGAGGTATTGTAATTATTTATACTTTTTACATTGTTCAAACTGTTGTCCTCATTTTTGTTGCCATATTCGCAACATTTCAGCCATTGTATGCTCTGGCCATTTTCAGGTGATTGGAATTTTGAATTAAGATATTTATTTAACTCACTGGAGTAGATTATTCTTATTCCAAATGCCATGCCTCTTCCAGATGTCTCAGTATCAGTTAACTCAAGTTTTTTTTTTTTTTGTTCACCTGTAGCTAGGTATTGAATTCAACTCTTTGGGTAAAAATCACTGGATTCAACCAACACTTATCCACAGGTCAATACCTAGTACAGGTGAACAAAAAACTTGTAGAGTTGATTTAAAGGGAGAGAACTGATTCTGAGACACCCAGAAGAGGCAT